ATCATGCATTTACAGTTGTAAGGGGGATAGTTATATCATATTAGGCAGAATTATGATCTTGTGATTGCTTTTATTTGGAAATTAAGCCTGACATAAAATGCTGTGCTTGAATGTCAAGTTGACAAAGGATGGTGTTGTGGTGGTTAATAATTCTCAACTTGGAAGGATTTAGAATCACCACAGAAACTAATCTCTGAGCATGTCTGTGAAGGATGTTATAATTTAGGTTGAGGTGGGAAGACATAAATGAGATGGCACCATTCCATGGACACTGGGGTCCCAGACTGAATCCAAAGGAGAGAGGAAGCTGAGCACCAGCATTCATCTCTCTGCTTCTTGACTATGGACACAATGTGAGAACCTGAATCACACTCCTGCTGCCGTGCCTTCCTTGCTATGATGGGCTGTGATATTGAACTGTCAGCCAAAATAATGGCTTCCTTCCTTAAGTAGCTTTTGTCATGTATGTTGCTGCAGCAAGAAGAAAAGTCTCTAATAGAGAATCTGGGACCATAGCCTATCTCTGCTCTCACCTCTGGGTAACCTGATCTTCAGCTGACCATCACTGCTTCTCTATATCCCAATGTATCTGTTTATAGGATTCTTTACCCTCTACTACTTTTATAGCTTTTCTGTGGCTTCTTAACACTTACATGTCAGTCATTTAATCACATGTTAATTAGTAGTACCTAACATATTCCATGTGGCCATCACAAGATAACCCCATGGAATGTTCAGTTTTCCTTAAATTTACACATTCAGAGAAATCCAGATATGACATAAGACTCTGACCACTGTATTAAGCAACAGTTTCAAGGAAGGAGAAACAGAGAAGGTCAGAGCAGTATATACTCCTTCTCTTAGGTCTTTCTTCTGAACATGATTTCCTTTTTCCTCCCCTCAAAGCCTATTGGGATACTTTCAGTATAGGAACCCCCACTGCTTCCTGTGACCCCAGTTTGGCAAGGAATTGGATGGAAAAATCACTGATGCAATGTGTCACCTACCTTTAGTTTTCTGCGAAAAGGACAGTTTCTTTTTCTCCTTATGTACATATTGGAAGGAAGGTCAGCACTCAGTGGCTAAGATAGCAGTGAGCATATCATGGAACAGAGGCAGTGAAGACTCTAGGCCACTAGCCACCTAGAATCTAGATTATAAATTCATTCCTAAATCTTACCACCAGGAAACCTGATACATCTGTATATGTCAAAGCCTATAGATATACACATCCTCAGATGCCTTGTCCTAAGCATCAGAATATAGAAGGATCTGATAAAAAGGACAGGAACAGAGATGAGAGGCCACCCTCAGGAAAACAACTGCATTTCAAGAAGGTTATTGTATAACACAAATGATTGTAATAATATCAAAACAGTAAGAATCTATCTGGCATGCATAGGTGGCCATGGCCTCTTTGCCAGTCACTGTTGAGTGTACCACAGTGGCCTCTCACTGAGACTTCATAAGACATTATGAGTTAGACACTCATTGACTCAAACTTTGAAAGCACAGAGATGGAGGATGTAGCTAGCCCCTGTAGGTCACACAAGGTGAATCACTGAAACAGATGCATATACCTCCATGACTGAAAATGTTAGTGGAAACACTGGAAGAGAAGCAAATGGATTTGTCTGGAAATACAGGGTAATGTGGCAACGGTGAGCAAATGGAGATTGCTACCTTAGGCAGCAGAGAGCTGTTACAGTTTGGATCTTATGTCCCTCACAGGCCTGTGTGTTACAACTTAGTCCCAACTTGGTGCTATGGGGAGGTGCTGGAGCCTTTAAGAGATAGGGCCTAGTGGAAGGTCTGGGATTATTGGAGATGTTCCTTGAAGGGGAGAGCAGAAGCCTAAACCTTCCTTTTTGTTCTGTGTTGTGGTTTGGGATGAGTATTTTTCCTCAGCCATGCCACCATCTATGTTGTGGTACCTCATCATTGGTCCTAAACAGCAAGGCTTCTAACCATGGACCTAAATCTTCAAAAGTTTGAGGCCAAATCACAATCTCTCTTCACAAGTTCATTATGTCAGAAATGTGGCAGAAATGTGGCAGAAATGTGACTGACACAGGAACGGGAGGGAGAGGAGGCACAGAGTTCAGATTTGCTTCTTGATGCACTGAATTCTCTACTGATGCAATTCAAAGTTGAAGGAACCTGGCATTATGAAGGGATTTTGAGCAGGTTGGCAACGTTCAGATAATAAATCATCTATTCTTCCAAAGACTTGACTTTAATTCATTTCTTTTAATCTCATTATTTTTAAAAGATTTTATATCTTTACCTCTCCTATGTTTTCTTTGTTAATTATATTTTATTTTGCTCATATATAATACTAAAAATGGATTAAACAACATAATCTTATATTGATGATTCAAAGAATTTCTAAATCTCATAAGGCTGAAATCATCATTTTATCTGATATTGTAGCTTTGTGCTGCAAATATGCAGGGCACCATTTAGAAAGTTCTAGACAACTGAAGTTCATTCAGAAGAATAACCTTATGGTGAAAGAATTAAAAAATGAAGCACTCCCCAGACTGGCTATCATTTATAAAGTCTTTCAGTTACTGGGCCTCAATTTTAACAGCTGTGCATCTGAATAACTGATTTCAAAGTGTCTTCCAACTCTGACAGTAAAAATTGACTGAAGCCTTGAACAGAGTTAAGAGGGACAAACTTTAGGTGGAATAATACAATGCGAAGGTTTTAGAGTGCCAGACTAGGCACTTACTCAACTCAGATAAGAGCCAGGCAGGAACACATCGCTGGCTTTGCTTGGTGGGTTTGTGCTATCTGTACTAAATGGCATAAAGCTGCCAGCATTCAGAATGCTCAGTGAGCATTTCTGTCGTTCTCTGTGGGATCTAAGTTGCAGAGGCAGAGATAGCCTGCTGTGCTGGGTTTTGTGTACTTTGACTGACCACAGTGTATATGAGACTTTATGATAGAACCCTGTCTTTGCCCTGAAATCCCAGGAAATCACTTCAGCAGTGCGATAGGAGCCTCCTGCTTCATTAGACGCTTATTTAATTCAATCACAGAGTTTTTTCCCCATCAGTTATATTTAATGAAACAAGCCTACAACAAATTTTGATTATGTAGAAAATAACCAAGAAAAGCATAATAAAGTGGGCCCTCAGGCACATTACTTTCCTGCCATATTAAATGCATGCAGGACTCTCCTGCATGCAGTTGCCACCAATAGCGACATGAAGATTGGATTGTTTTCCCAGCAGTGGCCAAAAATGGATGTAAGTTCATGTATATTCTGCAAACGGATTAACTTCTCCTGTGAACTGCTCTGAGTGGCTATGGCACTCTCTACTCTCTTGTGCTCCTCCTCAATTGAGGGGCCAAGATTAAGAGAGGAAAAGACAAAGGGTACCCATTGCTGAGTTTGAAGCACCTCCAGCATCTACACAATGATATGGTCATTCTGTGGCTTGAGCACCACGTCCCATTGTCTGAAGTGCCTAACAAAATTAGAAGCACAGGGTATTTTGTGAAAAAAAAAAAGATGCTATTTAGACCACATATTTTGAATACACTTGCTCTAGGACCAAATTATCCATTGATCATTGGTAAAATATTAACATTCTCCTGTTTCTCTTTGACTTAAGACAATGGACATTTAAGAAAATGTTGTCACTATAAAAGTTCAACAATTCCCCAGTTGTGAAATGAGTTGCTAATCTCTTTTACCTCAGGTGTGAAGATGTAGGTAATCTTCTTAGTAAACCCTGGAGAGTATTTTACAAATAGAAGGTCATTTGGAAATAGGAATCAGCTGTTAGAAGGAAAATATGACCCTTGCACCATGATCGCTCTCTTCCCTTACAGTTTATTGCAGCGGTGGTAATGGAATCTAGTTAATAATGCAAATCACAACACAAGGGCACCGTTCATAGCTAAGGTTAAGTGAGTCCCCAGGGGTGCTAATGACCAGATGCCAGAAGTAAGATGTAGATGAAACTTGTTTCTGTGATTTGTGACTCTTTTGCATATATTCCATTAACTCTATATTTCTCTATATCTCTGTTTCACAAGCCAATTATAATGAGTTTGTCACCACATCTATATTAATTTTTACTCCTATGTATTTTAGAAACACAAAATAAAACACAAGTATTGTACTGATATCCTGCATGTGTCCCTATGTGTGAATGCAGGAGTGCCTGTGCCATGACACACATGTGGAGGTGACAGGAAAACCTCCAGTGTGGTTCTTGCCTTCCACCTTGCTTGAGGCAGTCTGTGGTTTTCCCATTGCTTATTCTAGGCTAGATGTGTGAGCTTCTGAGGATTCTCCTGTTTCTGCTTTCCATCTTCCCATAGGACTTTTTGTATTATAGACATTCATGCCAGCCTGTCTAGCCTTGTGTAGGTTCTGAGGATTTAAATTCAAGACCTCTTGCTTGAGTGGCAAGTACTTCATCCACTAAGTCATCTCCCCATCCCTATAATGATAACACAGAGCATAAATATTATGGGAAAATATAATTTAATAATGCTCATTTAACAAGATTGGTTAGGAGAAAAAGAATATTATAGATCTTTCGCACTTTTAAACATCAGAAAGTAGTCTTAATGAACGGAATCTCAATGTGTGCCAAAGTAGCTTTTAAGCATACACCATTTAGTTTTGATTATTTTAATTGACTTAGAATATGTTAAAATATTTTATTGAGTTAAAAAGACCTGAAATGTTGCACAAAATCATATTCAAACATTAGTGAAAAGCTTTTAGCTATTTATAGGAAATATACTACTGTTGTTATTTTGGGGATCAGAAATAGCTAAAATAACATTAAAATCCTAGACTTTGAAGGTGATGTTTTCAGCATTCTTTCTCTTTTGCTCTTCTACCTAACTGACCAACAACCACACTTTATTCACAAGAAAGAGCTCCTTACAACCTTACTTTTTGTTTTCCTTTTTAAATTGATTATTTGAAAAAAAAAGAATGAATGAAAGAAAGGAAGAAAGAACAAAACAAAGAAATGGCGTGCTTCACGAACTCACATGTAGTTCTTGTGCAGGGGTCACATCCTAATCTTCTCTGTATTGTTCTAGTTTCAGTCTATGTGCTGCCAAACTGAGCATTAGGCTTCTTGAAATTCATTTTTATTTTATTAAATAAGGTTATTTTTAACTGATACACCAAAATATACAATTGTCCAGACTAATGGGCTACTAATGGGGTACACATTCTGACTTATGTGTATACTGTCTAGTGTTTAAATTCGCTTAGGCACATCTAGCTCCTCAAATATTTCTTTCTGTTAAGGACATTAATCATCCTTTCTGTTTCCCAGGGTGTTCAGTAGATTTCTTCGTACCCTCTGGAACATCTTGCTACCATGAGCTGTAACTTGGTACTCCCATGCACTAACCTCTCCCCATGCTTCTTCTTCAAACTTTCCCAGTCCCTGGTCACCACCATTCTACTTACAACTTCCCTAAGATCATTTTTAAAGTGTAGTCTACTCCTTAAAAATTTAAGCCTGCTCTTGAATTTAGGGAACTACTGTCACTGTGTCTGTTTAAATAGCCCACCTCTACACTGCCTCCTCTTCCACCCTTTCCCTCCATTAGCCTGTTTTCTCCCCTCCCAGTCCCCAAGTAGCACTCACTATGCCTTTAGAATTCCCCAGTCCCAGACCACTGCAGGTGGAGAGTCTCACAGCAGCTGCTGGTCCTGGGTAGGCATGGCCCATACTGTGTTCTCTCAAGTGCATGGCCTGACGATCGCACCTCCAGCAAGATATCATCCCAGCTAAGCTCAACTTCCTTCATCAACAACTAGTCAGCAATTCCTACCTTACAGAAGTACAAAAGTAAAATGAAAGGACAGACAATACCAGAACCATCCCAACCAGGGATTTAGGAAGCTTGGGGTCCACGTTTTGATGGGAAATACTGTTTACACTTTCTGAGAGTTTCTGCCTACTAAAGAACTTGAAACGTGTGATGAAACTATACAAAAACATTTAAAATGTAAAGATGAGTCATAAGCATGAAACACATTAAATATTTTAATCAACTCATTAAATAATTAGGAAATAAAATATTAGTAAGTGTCAAAGGAACATTTTAGCAAGTAGGCATTTGTGGAAATTTTTATGAAGAAATGTTCAAAATAAGATAGCTGTGTTACATACAAAACTAGTAAATTCCTGCATGGAAACAAATTACAGTTTTGGGGTTATCTCTTTTGTGCCAAGCAGAAACTATTTGTACCACTCCTAGACAGGAACACACAGGTCATCACGTCCTTCACTGTGATTGCTGGGATGCAGTATAAATAGTCTTAAAGTTAATAAGGTATTCTTGCAACTCTAAGGTGTTGTGCTTTGGTACTAAGAATATTCAGTGATATTAAATGCATTAAAACTGAGTTTTTATCTATTGCTGGCATATAATTTAGTTTGAATTTTTGCTGATTCCCTGTTGCTAAGCACTTGTGGTGAAGATATGGATGCTTTACCCTCAAATCGTGATGGGCACACCTTTAATTTCCCCTTTCTGGTTAGGCCATCTGATCTCTTTGCATTTTCTTCTGTGAAACACTATTGTGAGCTGAGTCGTCTCTTTGCAATAGCAGAATCTACTATCTACTGTCTGCACATTATTTTCATATTTCAGAAGGGTTGCCCAAAGCCTCCTATATTTTTCACATTAGAAAAATGTGTTTTAATTATCCCATACGGAAAAGAGTTCAGCCCAATGTATCTTAGAATCCTCTGTGAATACAGATGTTTTGTAACTTGCAATCCGGTTTCCAAAAAAATCACAAATGGATATAGTGCTAGTCAAAGAGCATTGAATACAAGTAACTTACCAAACGTTGTAGCTTAGCAGCACATTATACGGCGAAATATCGGTTATCTCTTTGGTGACTGTGGCGGAGTAGGAGATCAAAACAGAGTAGCACATCCTCTGTTACTAGATAGAGGAAAAACAGAAATTCAGGATTTCAAGTATGCTTCAGGCTGAATGTGAGTTGTTCTTACACCACTGTGAAGGTGAGAATTTGTAAGTAGAGCCGTTGTGTTTGGGGAGCATCTCTATTTGCATTTCTAAATTTGGGAATCTATCATTTTTGTCACCTTTCTTTCAATTCATTGCTGTTACAAATAAATGCTTTACTGGTGCAAACTGTGTGTATTATCTGTATATCTCTGTTCTGTGGGTTTTCCCATAAGCAGAACTTTGTAGTCTCTGAGTATGTACTACTAGGATAGTTGTACATGTGGGAGGTGACATCAGGAAGTATTTGCTCATTAGAAAAACGTGGTTCCATCTGAAGCCATGAAAGTAGCATAGGCTTCAGGCCACAGCTATGAGGTAGCAAAATTGTCTGGTGTTACTCCACTTCATTTCAAACATCCTCTCTTATTAACCTTCCCTGGGTCCATCTATGAGCTCTTCAGTTCTTCTCAGGGGTGTGAAGACTAAATGTGGCATATCTGGAGGCTGGCTACTGTCTTTGGCCATTTGTTAGGTAGGGGATTTTGGATATCTGCCAGAAGTGACCATCAGTAGCTGAGGACATTCAGTCACAAGATACTAACCCAGCACAAGGACTTGAGTGCAGAGATGGGGAGTAGCCAGTAGTGACTAAGAGAGGTCTGATGTTTAGCATGAACAAAGTTGACCAATGACAGTAAACCTTATTTAGGGTAGGCACAGGCATTTTTATAACAGTTGATTTAGGGATGTACTATAAAAGCTGCCTTGTTTTGCAAATAAGTGAATGAGCTAACATGTTTGTTGTGCCAAATACTCCCCTGGGAGACTCTCAGAGCTCTCTGGGATCCCAGGGCCACAGTGTCCTAATGGAGACCGAAAAAACTGACATCATGCATTCATCCATGATGCAACCATCCCAGCCCCTCCCACTCTGAGTCTACCTACTGGGTGGGAGGGGCAACTGCTTCCCCCTCTGAGTCTCCTGGGATTCAGTGCTAGTTCCCTCAGAGAACATGCCTACCCAACAATGTTATACACTTTTAAGGCTCAAGTTTGACTATTTCTAATTCTTATTTCAACTCAGAATTAATTCATATAATGGCTTAAATAATGAATTAAATCATAGTGAGAAAAATATTAAGTGAGGGTAGAAATTTCATTTGTTAAGGGTGCTTCATCTTACTGAAAAATTGATATTGGATCACTCACATCTCTAAGACTTGTTGTATTAAAAATTATAGCTAAATATGAGCATATAGGAGAGGAGATTATGAGATGAAAAGAAAGGGCATTGCATGAGGTGCGTCTGCCTTGAATGCCATCAGCAGAAACAGCAAGTGACTGTGTGTCTCAGGAGAGGTGCTATTTTGTTCTGAACCCTTGTGCATACCTGTGGGGGAGGGAGTGTGGGGGTGTGTGCTCCTTTCAAAGTTGTGTCTGTTTCCATAAAGTGCCATTCCAGAGGGGCCAGAGACAGAAAAGGAACTAAATCCTGAGTCTCCATGCCATCTCCCTTCGTTTCCAATTCTCTCCTATTTTCTCTGGTTCTGAATGAGCAGTTTTTGGTTCTACATTTTCCCTTAGCATGCATATTATATATCCCCCCGTTTTTAAAGATTGCTGTTGAGTGTGAATTTTCAATTACAACACATCAAACCCACTTTTAAATAACATTGCACCACTTTATAGGTAGCGTAAGCACCTACTGGGTATTACTAGCGTCTCCCTCTGTTTCTTCCTACATTGCTAGAATTTGTTTCATTTATCCATAAACTATACTCATCAAAATAATCCTGTCTATCAATATTTTGAATACAATGCCCTATGACAGATCAATTGAAAATAAAAAAATGAATAAAATATCTTATTTCCCTTCATTTATTCCTTTTCAGAAGCATTTCCTGCCTTTTGGTAGATTTGAGATTTTGACCTCTATCATTTCCTTCTTTCTGAACAATTTCTTGGAACATTTCTTGCAAGGCAGGTCTATTAGTTAAAAATTTCCTTCAATTTTTTTTCCCCAAGAAGACATTTTTCCTTCACTTCTGAAAGATAAGTTTGCCAGATACAGAATTCTAGATTGTAGTTGAACTCTTTCAACACTGTCAGTAGTTCCAGTGTCCAATGCAATTCTGATTCTTATTTTCCTCTACACTTCATGTGAATTTACTTTCTTCTGACTTTTTCTCAAGATATCCTTCTCATATATGAATTTTTATAGTTTCAGTGTAATCTTCATAGGTATAGGTCTTTTCATATTTATCCTGCTCAGTGTTCTGTGAGATTTCTAGACCTGTGCTTTGGTGTCTATCATTAATTCTGGATGAAGTCTTTAGTAATTGCAGTTGTTTTAAGTATTTCTTCTGTCCCTCTGTTGTGTGTTGTCTAGGAGCCTTGGATAGGTTCATTTTATTAGCCAACTGAAGAATTAAAAGGCAGGAAAAATCTCAGACCAACAGAGAGCAACAGACAGACTTTTACTGAAAGCTGAAGATTCAGGTACATACACACATTCACAGGTAGGAAAGCTCTCTACAGGCAGAGAGGGGATTTGGAGTCTGACAAATCCGAAGCCCCCAAGGAGGGCTTGAACCTCTTAAGTGTTTTAGCTCTCATGGGGCAGGCCTTCTTCCCCTAATTTTGAATTGGTCATCATAAAAATGAGAGAGCACATAGATCACAGTTCCAAGGTAAGTGAGATGACCAGATCAGGACTTGGTCTCATCTAAACTGGTGTGGACCAGTAAGCTGGAAAAGGGGCCCTGTTGGCAGGAGAAAAAGTGTGCTAGGCCTCTGTCTCCCACCAAGGGGAAGCAGGAAGTGCGCCATCTGTATTATTCATTTGTGACCCTGTTTGTTTATGAGGGATTTGGCTCCTCACCCTTCTCCCATTCTTTTCCTGTAGTCTCATTATGTGTCCTAACACCTCTGTAACTGCTTCCTTCTTCTTGTGAGATCTCTTCTGCATTCTGGCTTCCATTTTCTCTTCTGGTTGTCCGCTTTGGAAGTGCCTGTTGATGTTTCTTCAGCTCAGTGGTTAGTTCCTCGCCTGTGTTCAGTCTGCTGATCAAACCTTCCGTGTTTTTCCTCTCTAGAATTTCTTTTGATTCTTCTGCTGACATTTTCAGGCA